AGCAAGACAAACATGTAGTCCATCACAGAAGCAGTATAGACAACGTGTTTCGATACCATAGACACGGCAGTCAAGAAATCCCTCAAATCCACTTTAAGCGACAATCCACAAAACATCGCAAAACCTTGTGTGTGGAAAAACTGGGCCCCCACAGCGTCCCTTTCTGTCTTCGAGCTTGGAGGAGGTTTGCAACCGAGACAAAGGGGAAGAGGCAAAAGATCAAGTACCGTGACATGGACATCAACAAGTGTTGTCGTACTGTTCACATTATCGCATCTGCGCCAACCAGCTTGGAGATACTCCTCGAGTGTGATGGGTTCGACGATATCGACCTGGGGCAAAGCCAAAGTTTCGTAGGTAGTGCCATGAATTCCCAGAGATGTTTTCCATGATGTTGCCCATGACATTTGCCATGACTGAGTTGGCACATTTGCCAGGCTAGGAGAGATGATTGCTGACCAGACTATTCTTGGGCATCACTCCTTTTCTTAACGATGTGGTGTGAGTCAAGATAGGTGCAGTTTGAAGTGACGTCGGTCGTCGTCGTCCTGGTGGGATGCACATGTCTTGCTTCGAGGACTGAATTGAACCAATTAAGAAACACCTCTGTTTATTTCACTACAGTCATACCCACATCCAAAAAGCACCCAAGCATCTCTGACATGTCCTCACGGGTGTGTCAGACTGTTAGCCGAAGGATTCCCAATTCCCAGAAGGCACCCAAGCATCTCTGACATGTCCTTCGGTGTGTCAGACTTTTACTGCAGCATACCCAATCTGTGATCCGTTTTCTGACAAGCATCACATGTGATGCTCCCGAAGCTGATACAAACATACCCAACCAACAAGCACCCAAGATGGAGTCGAAGGAGAGGAGATTCGCCACCCAAGAAGCACCCCACGTCTCGTCGTCGTGAAAGGGTTTGAGAACTTCTGAATCTTGTTTTTTTTTGTGTGTTTTGTTGTTGTTGTTTTTTTTTTACGTGGTTTCTCCATCATATGTCGTTCTCATCTGTCACTGATTTCATTTTTCGGTGCTTGTTGTTCAGGTTCAGATAATGTTCATCTGTAGTACATTCCGTACGTTGCGATGCCGGTCTCAAGATCAAAGCTGGCGCTTGGAGCTCAAAAAGATGCCGGTGCGACCGAAAGCGATGCCGATCTGAAGATCAAAGCTGGCAGCTCCAAGAGATGCCGGTGCGACCGAAAGCAGATCAAGAGTGCATGAGGCTGGACGCTCCCGGGAAGCACCCGCCATTTCGTAAAAATAAATAAGTAAAGGAACTAATTCGCTGGATTTTCCTCGTGTGTCCATTCCCATGTCGTTCAATAATAAATGCACCGTGATCTAATTCGTTTCGCCACCCAGAGGATACCCTGCATCCGTTTTTTGTCGCGTCGTTTCATTCTGCTCTCACTTCAGCTCAAGAAGACGACGACAATAGGTTAAAGGGGCAAATCAGGCTTGAGGTCCAAGCTTACATGCAAAAGTTTTGTATTGCAGCTACAGCTGTTTGCATCTGGAGAGTTCCAAAGGTTTCACAGGCTTCATAATCTTTGTTAGATAACTACATAATGGAAACCGACGAAAGACGACAAAGATTGTCCGAAGCATACCCAAAACCATGCTGAGATGTATGGTTACCCAAAGCTGACCCAAGTTTGTGCTATCAAGGAGGCGAAAACGTCGTTCGTACTTAAGACGTGATACCGCTTGCTGTGTCCATCTTTGAATTTCCAAGCATAATGTAGGTCTTTTCGCCACCCAAAGGACACCCTGCATCCGTGTTTGTTCGTTTCGTTTCATTCTGTTCCAGCTTCAGATTAAGTTACGGCGACGGCAACAGGACGGCAAAAGACATTGCCAATTCAGAACCGTTTTCAGAGCAGGGGCTGCTTCCTTCTGTCCTAACTTTATTGATTAGTTGTTCTGTTGATAACCGGTTTGACCGGGAGTGTGTGTGGGTGTGTGGAACTCCTGTACCTGAGGATTGAGTTGACGAATAGCTGTTGTCCTGATGCATAGCAAATCGAAGAGCAGGGGGCCGCAGGCCTACCATCGGAGCTGCGGCCAACGAAGACCTCCGATGGTAGGTGTGAAAACGCACCTGCTGAGCAATGATCTGAACGAGTGATAGAATTGGTGGGACTTGAGGCTCGTAAAAAGGCTGGAAGTCTTGTATTGTATCTAGATCTGATCATCTTGATTCCCTGCACAGGTTTCACAGGCTCCCATCTTGTAAGTATACTGCAATTTTCCAATACAAATATATCAGACTCAAGGTCTCAAATAGTGAAATTTTGCACTGCATCGCAGTGATTCCTCGCACAGGTTCCACAGGCTCATCTACAATAGTTCCATTGTTTTCAATTTCGAAGTCGAAGAGAAGATGAAGTGGACCATGAGCAATGAAAGATATACAAGAAAAATAAGTATATGAGAAGCTGACAACCGGCCTTGACCGGGATCTACGTGTGTGTGTGTGTGTGTAAGCGTGCCCGGGGGGGCGGGTGTCGGTGTGCGTGTGCGTATGTGTGTAACAGAGGAGAAATCATAGATCTTTGCACGGGGGGGGGCGAGACCATATATGTTTGTATTCACTTATTTATACATATACATTTACATACCTGCGTGTGTGCAACCGTAAGCCACGAACTGATCGGCGCCAGACCCCAGTCCTGAGAGGAGCTGGAGAAACTTTGAAGCGTTCCCCTTTGTTAATGCTGGGAGTTTAGTTCGGGTTTGACTAGGGTTTCCGGACCGCAGAGTCAGACATAGTCTTACCACCTCAGCGCCGTCTTGGGGGGTTTAACACCTAATCCTCCTCCCTGCACCCAAATATTTCGACACGCCTTTCTTCGAACCCTCCTTATCCGGTTCCCCTTTCCTCTCCCGCCCCGCCTCCTCCCCCCCGCCCTTCCCTCCGCCCTCCCCACCCTCCCCTCCCTCTTCCCCTCCCCTCCATTCTCACCATCGCTTCTCTTCTAGTGCGACTGCTGGCAAGCAGCGTAACGTAGCTGAGCAGCATCGCGGACAGTCGAACTTATACAACAAGCCAGCCGAGGCGGGCTGCGTTAAAATTAGGGTTCCTGTTCAGATTCAGGTACCAGGAAGTACGACACCTTTACAAAAAGGACCCTAAAGGGACACTCATTTAGAGAACTACTCGCATACAGGTCGCACCACAGAGTTCTCTGATTGGTCTGCAAGTTGCAGCTGAGCATCCAAGTGGACAACTGGAGCTGAATCTATCAAGGCACATGCCTGATTCTTCAACCTGCAAGCAGTACTTCGCTGTCTGTCACTTCTCCAAGATAAGTCTAGTCCGGGCAGGCGCAAAGGTGCCTCGAATGTTCTAGATAACTAGACATGACATACAGTTGATTTTGTGAGCCGCACCGTAGCGGCGACTTCGCCGTTCTGCGTCGCTACAGTAGGCATGATCCGATTGGTCGCCAAGGCGTTCCTTTGCAACTGGCCGCCTCTTGGACGCATATTTGCACCACCTGAGCGTGTGTTTTCTAAAGGCGTGACACAGATAGAGAGACTCCTCTCCAAGGGCCAGACATCATGTCCAATCCCCAGTCCGATTTGTCTTGGATGCATGAGCGGCAATCCCGAAGAACAAGCTGTAGCCTTGCGTGCGCAGGGGATGCACAGCCACAAAGACTCCGAGCTGCAGCAACTGAGTGGCACCAGCCTCCCGAGAACGCGAGACGTTCAGTTCAAGGCTGCCGGATGCGGTGCAGCTTGGGGGCACTTCCGATTTGAGAAGCGGTGCAGTGAGCTCCACGAAGTCCGTGTGCCGGAAGTCACATCCTGCACGTTTGACGAACGTTGCGAGCATTCTGGCCTGATCGATGGCAGCTGTTCGCATACACATGCACACTTATATATCAGCACACATAATACGTACGTGGGCCATGCACTGACTGCAGCGTGGCATCACGGCAGCCGAGGGGTGTAGCAACAAGTGAGGTACGAGTCTAGTAACCACCTACAGTAGAGCGGAGAACATCACCGAAGCAAAGACACACACCTCCAACCAATTACGACGAAGGCTGACCCCAAAGCACATTGTGTACAGATTGCTTGAGGCTGTCCTCGATCAGGACTTTGGATGACATTCGGACCTGGGTGGAGGTTCGAGGCCAACAGTCAACGCACGCCCAGCTTGCACACTAAGCTGTGGGCCGCTGATCTGCTGGGCATGTCGGCGGCTGCCTCTCGAAGGAGCATGGCCTGCACGAAGCTCCATGCACTTTTCGATTGGACCATGTCTAACCTCGGTCCGCATTTGCTAGTACCGACTGGTAGTAACCCGAAATGCGCTGAAGCTGCGACCTTCCCGGCGAACCACAGCGCTGTGCTCCTGCAATAAGAAATGATCGCATGAGCTGCAGTTTGTGCCAACCAGGCTCCTGCACCCTCGGGCGCGGTTACGGCCGTTCGAGCAAGTCTTTCGGGGTGCAAGTGTGGCCATGTGCTGCGCCAGCCTGGACCAGCAAAGGCACCAAAGGCTTACCATTGGCTTGTACCTCAAAAAGCTCCACTCTGTCACAACTGATGGGTGAAATGGTGCGGAGATTGTCAGGGTTGAGGAGTCGGCGAATGTCGGACCGACGATGGGAGAGCGGCTGAGCCGGGCCATCTCCAAGAAGTGAGGGAGGTCCGCCTTTCATGCATGGTAGCGACTGGTAGTGCTACCAGTACAGCCACTGCCACACGCTGACATCATGCCGGCACGGGGGAAAGGTGAAACCCCTTTGAACGCGTCGAGGACAGTGACGTCAATTCAGTCATTATCGCAACAGCGCTTCCCAATCCACATGCACATCACGCACCGCCCAATACACGCTCAATTCAATCGAAAATCAGAAGTAGCATCCCCCAAACCCCATCAACTTAAGCGAAAAACACTGCGAGTAGCAACCAGTAGCTGCATCCTCCAAACCCTTCCTGCTCGCACCAACGAACAGACACTCCAAGCGAACACGAAGCAGTAACCGCATCGCCCAACCCCATCTACACACGAAAACAGTAGCCGCATCCCCCGAACCCCATCAGCATGCATCACCATGGGCATTTCCCGGTCACCCAGTCCCACAGTTTAAAACAAAAAACGTATTTCTTGGGGTCTGGGACGATACCTCCAAGCCGGATTTGAAGGCCACTGAAGGCCCGAACCACGTCTATGGTGTGGTAGAACGATTATAGTAATCATGGGGGAGCCATCAGTTTGATTTCAGAGCAAGCGCACCGGCTCAGACGTACGCGGATGTAGTGGCCTGTAAAAACTCACGTATGGTAGATGGCCGATCGCGACTGATCGCGATACTAGGAAACCCCAAATACGCGCATTTCGGTAACTTCTTTCATGTTGTTGCCCCAAGTACTGCTGCATGCAAAAGGCTCCGGTAAAAGCTTGCACTTGTCACAGTAGAATCTGGCTGCAATTTGACGCACATCGGCCAGCCTTGGAGAGGTCGATATCACTGTCCAGGGCCCATATGAACTCGTAGCGCTTCTCCCAAAGCCCGTCCTGGCAACAACTCGTCCAAAAAGTGGAAGTTCACCGCTACAGAGTGTGCAGCGGCCTTGCAGCTACCGCCCACATCATCTCCCAGTTGAACTCGCGCCATCTCACACCCCGAGACACCCCGGCCCCAATTTCAATATGGTCATACAGCGGGGTGTGAGTTGGACTGGGGCATGATCCTTGATATCTCCATAGCCCCCCCCCCCGCCCCCTTTTTTACAGCTCCGGCCCCTCTGCCAGAGCCGGCTCGGCCTTGTAGGCTTTCCTTGGCAGCGCTGCAGTCAGTGTCAAGAGGCTCAGCAAGCGTCACTTGCGCCGGACTTCAGGTAAGCATCTGCATGAGACGGAACTTGTAGCCTCTGGCAACCAAAGATTCGGAAACATGCTCCTGGTACCTAGCAGAAAGTGCATTTTCTGGCGGCGCGATGCTGAAATCTGGTGGGCGCACCAGGTGTGATCCCAGTCGTTCTGAGAACCACGGTAGTGTGCAAGGATCACCTAGACAGGAAAAGGATCTGAAGAATTCTTAAACTCGAACGTCTTATAAAGAGTTGGCAGTCAAGACCGGGTCATGATGGTTCTAGCCAACATCATACTGTTGTCCACCCACCAAAGACCCTGCCCCTGTCTGGCTTCGACTTGAGCTCGAAATGAAACGGTCGGCGAATGCTGCACACTTCGCCATGGTAGTTCGTGAGGTCAGCACGTCGTGTGGTATGCCAGCATCTTCTACCTTGGTGCAGAGAGGCTGCTGAGGTTTACACTTAAAAAGTAAACATCCATGGTAAGATTCGTTTGTGGATCACGAGTGAAATTGACTTTGTTCTGATTGGGACCGCTGTGCAAAAGCGACCGAACTCAGTATTAATCAGTGCCGGTCGAGCCACGTGACGGACATTTTGCTTCACCAGGTCCTACACCCAAGGCAGCAAACCAGCACTGCGTCGGTACTGAAGCTCAGCTAGAACAGCCCACACTCTCCTGCGTCCTTTTGCTGCTGTCTACAGCCCAGAAGAGGAGTAGTCTTGCATGATAAAGTCGGAGACCTCGCGGAGTCAGTGCCGAGGCTATTCCTCCTAATAGTCTCACAACATCAACGCCAAGTTGTCACCACACTTTCGGTAAGCTGAATCCCACACATGCCGCGAAGACCAGGATGCGAAACATACCTTGTTGCGCATGGGATAGCATGATAGGATTGGATGGCATGCGATGGTAGGGCATGGCATTGGTCCTGGGTCTGCCGTTTCGGAATTGCATGCGCTGCAAGCGACCGGTGCACAGGTGTATCTGCAGGTTTGGATGAGCCTGTGTTGAAACCCACCTCCCCAAACCACGAAGTGTGTGAGTTAAGTGAGCATGCTTCCGTGCTATGAGGACTTTGCTGCTGAAGGTGGAGGATCGTGAAATAAACACTGCCGCACTAGGCTAGGACCGAGGCTATGGAAGCCGGGGCTGGGCCTTCGTGGTCCGGTAGATCGTTTGAAGGCCTTTGTGTCTTGATTTTCATTGCAGATTCGAGTTCTTCGTTTTCCGGTCTTGCAAAGGTTCTCTGGATGCTTTTGGAAGCTGCGGCTTGCTGGAACCCACTAGTAAGTTGGTGAGAAGGCCTCAGGCAAAGATGAACTTCTTTTTGCTGAGATGAGCAACTGGAATCGCGCTACACGTGGTAACCAATATGAGGTGCTGCTCTGCGAGCCGAGATGCTTTCGCGTGCCATGATACGAAACTCGGACGAGTCCGAGGAAGACACGGACTTAGCACCTGAGCGCTTTGGGAGACACTTGCCAGCACGTACACCACTATCCACATGCACCTCTTCCAGTCTGCGTGAATTCCCTGACCCCCGCTGGGGCGTTTGTGGAAGAGTCGCAAATCGTAAGCCTCTTGCCGCACAAAGCTGCACCTTGAGTGCGCCCCTGCTTTGGCGCAGCTTGAGGTATCAAAGCAGCGGTCCGCACTCGAAATGCAAACGCAGAGTTGCCCAGCCAGGTGTAACGAAGGTTATTTAACATGGTTCGGCTGTTTGGCCATCCTGTCAAAAGGAATTCGCTGCAACCGGCACACATTTTGTCCAAGACTTTTCTCTGCACCTGTCCCTCAGCTGCTGCACATGCAGTCGTAGACCAATGCAATGCGTTTTGGGTTTGTTCCTGACATCGTGCTTACAGCACTTTTCCATGCTGAATGTGCCTCAGCTGACGGGCATCCACTAGGCAACCTGACATACGAGCGGCCTGTGAAACAGCAGGCCATGCATCCAGCATGGCCTCCTCCACCTCACAATGCGAAAAACGGAGCTGCCATCCCTACATGAGGGTCTTCACCTCGTCCTCAAGCTTGTAAGGCCAGAAAGGGGTGGCGCACATCTTAAAATCACGACTCGCTCATTGAGTGTTGGAGACGCAAGAGGTCCTCGTCCCCATCCTCCGGCTTGTCTGGGACCTCGGGCGGTGGGGATGGCGGAGCCGCAGATTCCTGGCACCAGAAGTTCTACGTCAATACACATCCAAGCCCTCAGAGTCAGAGCACTCCTTCGGAGCTTCTCCGGCTTCGGAGACTTTCTCCGCTACAGCCTTTCTCAATACAGTTTGACTCTCGAGCCTCTCTTGTGACCTAATATGTCAGCTTTTCTGAAGCTGCTCACCTTCAGGTCGGAGGCATCCGAAAGCTGGATTACCTCAGCTGCCCACCAGAACGTCTTTTTGTTGGAGAAGGCACGCCCGCACTAACTTGCTGCCTGATCAATGAGGCCGTAGTCCTTTGCCTTTCGATGCCGGTTACTGCACGCTGAAGAAGCATACAACCGTCGAAGCCCGAAGTCAATCGCCTGACCTGTTCTGCCGACATGAAGTTGTCCCGCATGAGGTCTGCTCTGATTGTATCCTGGTCTTTGCCTGTCCTTGGTCTCTCAATGGGTCCCCTCGGCTCGAAACAAAGAGGTACTTTGCAGCAATGTGGAAGCTAGGATCCGAGCACACGGGAATACATCCTGGGAGACACTCCGAGACAATACTTGCACACACAGCCGGAGACGCAAAGCGAGGGTCGTGGAGATACGCAAAAAAATAGGCAAATAGTTGGACGAGCAGAGAATATGTGTGCATTGTCTGAAAGCATACATGACGTGCATCACTGAGACCTCTCCTCACGATGTTCTCGTGAATTTGCAGAATCTGCTGTGCTTCGACCTGGCGCCACGCACCAAGTCGAAGCCCGAAACATAGGGATCCTACTCGGGCTTCTGGCAACAGTCAACTCATTTATCGGTTCGATCAATTCTGTGAGTTTTCCTCATTGGCTTGCGAAGCAGGCGCGGGTCTTTCTGCAAACTGCAAGCAAGGCGCCAGAGCTTAAAACAGTACCAATCAGTCTGACAGACAGCGCACAGCTCCGGTTACTCCTACAACCAAGGTGTGCTTGTGAGCCTTGATGTCCTCTGCTTGGCCTTGTGCTCCACCCATCGCTTGGTGGATCATGATCTGGGCAACCAGTTCCACAAATGGACAACAGCAGTCGTCAAGATCATTCCATGCCGCTGCTGGGCCACGACGAGGACGACTACCGAAACTTCTTCTGCTACTACTCGTGCTTCTGCTGCTTCTGCTTCCACTATCATTAATCATGGTAAAGTACTGTTCGTGGTGGGTGGAAGAACGGTCAAGCTCCCCGCCCGACTGTGAGGCAGCGCAATACCTTGGACACTCTTTGATCTTCGTCCTTGTTCCTCTCTCTCTCCCGTGTCAGCTCTGTCAATCAAGAAAGTTGAAACGTCGCATGGCGCGTGCAGAAGCTGCAGGCTTCCTTCCGCGGGTTTTGCCTAAAAAGTAGCCACGTCACGTTTGCCCTTCTCGCCCGCCGCGAGCAGGAAAGAGGCCATGGATGCTGCAAGGCCTGGGATGATTCGGTCGGAACACGCAGGCTGGCGAGCACGGAACTGCAAGTGCGGACGCACTTGAATAGCACTGTGCCTGTATCTGCATGTGAAAGTTTGGGCTCTTGCCAACGTTGATTGTGATCACAGGGGACTTGATATGCCTGTTTCAATCGAGACTGTCCAGACACAAAGAGTCTCTGCAAGGTTCCTGAAGCAACTCGATCCGCTCTGACAGGCAACAACAGCCACTGGGATGGCTCAGTGCTGCACTGCATAGTGTCGTAGATGGACAGGCCAGCAATCACAGATCCGCCGGCGCTATTGATGTACAAGTATATGGGCTTGTTGTTGTCCTGTACCACGGCAAACGTACTTGAACTAGCAAGCCATGGCTCAAACTGCTCGAAAGATTCTGCATCCTCGGAATCCAAATACAGCCTGAGATGACTGGGGTGCCATCATCCAGTCGTAGGAACATCGCCGCTCAGATCTAATGTGCGGCTCGAGGCACAAAACTCCAATGACCTCATTTGCCAACTTGTCATCGATTTCCTTGCCAATGAAAATAATTCCTGGCAGGGAAAGGGAAGAGCAAGAGGCAATACTGCACAATGGCCGTATGTAAGTCTGACCCAAAACGTTGACGCGATTTGGCATAGCTCGGAGTTGCCGTGAATTGCTGTGTGCAAGATGCCAGGAAGGCTTTCTCGATAGAGTCGGTTGTAGATGTCAACCTCGGACCCAGGCGCCAGGCCCGCTGAACGATCGCTGTTTGGGCTCTTGGAGCAGAGCCCATTCTGCATTCGGTGCTCCCGGGACCCTGTAGGCCACCTGCACACAGCTCCCAACACCGCTGGAAATCGCGGTCGCTCGAGGATACCAAGACAGAGCAAATGCTGCAGGCGGTGTAGGTGCATCCTGTCATTTCTGCCGCCCCTTGATGCTTGAGTATTTTTCACTCAGCTGAGGTACCTGAGATAACAGAACCCAGCGGCACGTGTCTGGAAGAGCCATGAACAACTTGCGACACGAGCGCGATTCCACGATCTTTCGCTGCACTTTGCAGTTGGGCTGCCACCAGAACGTCCAGTCCATTCCGAGAAACACCCGATGTCCGTCCCGTCGGTGTTCATGCACGGCACGAACAACTCCTGCGAGCAAGCCGAGTATCTGTGCTCTCCTCAGGCCCTGCTATAGTCTATACACGCAGCATGAGCTACCCGTATCGTCCTGGCCACTGCGGTGAAAAGTCATGTCCAGCAACGAGTGCTCCTGAAAAACAGCAGCTTGACAGCATGCCAGCAGCCGCTTCAGAATCTGGTAACCTGCACCAGATAGCTTTGGTAGCCAGATCTGCAGGTCCGAATCGACGCACTCATAGAGATGGCAGCCGTCCACAAAGATGGCCTAACACAGATCCATAAAGACTCACAAAAGTCTCACAGCGCCCGACAACTGGGGCGGCAGCATCTATGCTGCCGTCAGGAATGCTCCTGCACAGGGCTCGTCTTCCAGCCAGTAATTTAACCACAGATTATGGCAAGTAGGCATATTGAATGCATGGCACGTCCATCCTGGCAGGCTAATGGCGGCCCTCTCCTGGCTGCTACATCGGATGTGACCGGCAGAAGTTGGGCTCGATCTTTGAAGTTCTCGTAGATGGCAGCGGCCTAGGAGCAAGCATGTGATTTCAATCGACAGAAGTTCTCTGCAGGTTCTTGACTCTGACAAAACCCGCTGTTGCCTGTGAGAGAGCAAAGTCTGGATCCATCGTCTCTGAGAAGTCTCCAGGAAACGTTCCATCCGTCCCAACGTATGGGTCAATGCCTGCGAAGCAGCATCTGCAAGCAAAGTGTTGCAAGCACTCGGAATGATTGATGTGCAAGTTGCCGAGAAGAGTCACAAATGGAAGCTTCTCCAGCAGAAACTTGGACCTGAGAACATGGCAGCACCGGCCAGTCTCGACAGGAACAGGGGATGCCGGAGTTGTTCACCGATGTGCGATACGTATTGGTAGGCCTTCGGCAAACTTCCTTTGAAGACACCAATCTCGACAACATGGATCTGCTCACCTCCACGGCTTTGGTGAAGTTTGTTCCTTGCGGTCGCAATGACAATCCCCCTGTTCATGCAACAACGATCGTTTCTGCTGGTCTGCTGGTCCATAAGCCATCAAACAAACTTCTGCATGTTCTCAAGCTGGCCAGGGCTCAGCAGATTCTGCAGGATGTCCTTCAAGAAGCAGCCACTTGGACTTAAATTTTGCTTCTGACGCGTGTGGGGCGGTGGG